CAAGTAAAATAAATAAATAAATAAAATAAAAATAGGCTCGGTGCTCGGAAAGAGAAAATGTGTCTGCCATTCTGTAACGGTCAGAATTTACATTTTGCATTGAATGATCTATACAGGTCCTTCTGTAACACACACACACACATACAAAATTGTTGATAGCAATCGTGATATGAAAGCTAATGGAAGCTGCCTTATAATTATAGGCTCATTTCCTCTTACTGTAGAGGTCATGTGAGCGGGGGAGGCTGTTCCTTTGTGAAAAGAGAAGGAATTGTCCATTTTCCCCTCAAGGAACAATGGCCTGCCCTATTTATTATGAGGGAAGATAAGACAAATTTGCCTATGAATGATCGCCACTTGTTTACGTTCACAATTCATCAGGATGGAAGACACGCGAGTGAGCCACGAAATGCAAAAATCTTTGAATAACAGTGAAGGCCATTCATTTATCACAGCAGATCATTTGGCATTTTGACTCCTATTGGATTAAGGTCCATTCACTTTTGCCTTAATTTCTATTTGATTACAGTTAATGTTGACTATGTGTGCCTGCGAACCATTTTAATTCGACGACCTTGATGGCTCTTAGAGACTTCTGACCAAACAAAGTGAAGTTTGCCGCGCAATTTGAAAGGCTTTGCCTGTGACTTAAAGGCGCCCCTCTGTGTCCACCATCACGGTGTGAGGTTAGAAGTGGAGCAAAGGCAAAATCTCATTAGCTCCACACGGGGAGAGAGAGTGAGAGAGAGAGAGAGAGAGAGAGAGAGAGAGAGCGAGAGGGAGAGAGAGAAAGAGAAAGAGAGAGAGAGAGAGACGACTTCACTTTTTGGAGGAAGAGTGAATATTATTAGATTAATCTAATGACTAACTGCAGCATTTTCATTTGTGGCACAAAAAGAATTCAATAAGAAACACAATTGGGGCAGTGCCATTAAAAACCTGTCATGAGGGCTTTCCTGCCTTCGGGACAACACCGAGGCAAAGAAATGCCGCACAAAAAAAAAAATTTCTTCCAAGAAAACCGCCTACCTACTCAAAAACACTCAAAGAACTTGTTCTTCCAAAAAAAACCACACCAAAAAAAACGCTCCGGTAAGTCTGTGACTTTTTAAACCATTGTCCATGAAGGCATTTTTTTGTTTGAACCATGTATAAACACCAGTTAAGATTCTAGCACAAGGCCCCAAGATCCAAGGGAGATATTGACAAAAAAGGACTTTTTCGTTGCTTTTATACAAACAAATGTGTCTCTGGAGTGCCTGACAACACAAACAAAAAATATACACAACCGAGAAAAGCTTTTGTGAGCTATTTCCCAAAATGCCTGTGAGCAGAGCAATTCTGAGAGTTTGCCTGATTGTGACTTAACAGTGCAGCGAATTTCCCGGCACATTAAAACTGCCTTGACACCCTTGCAATGGGTTGCGAGTCTCTCTGTGTATGACTTGGTAGCCAGCCTGGGCAAAATCTGACATTTTCAAGCAATGACTAAACAACACAGAAATGCTGTCACATCAGAGGCAAAGGCCAAGCAGAGCTGCAGCGTCGGAAGCACAGAGCCGCATTACAAACAACGTGAACAGCATTTGCTTTTGGTAAGCGGCAAATATTCAAATTGGCACAGAAGATCATTCAAGCTCCACTCTCTCTCGTCATGGTCAAGAAAGACGCAATCATCAGGCTGAGTTTAAAAAAGTAAAAAAAAGTAAAAGAGAGGATAAAAGAAACACAATTTAAGAGCCCGCCAATAGTCTTGTCAGCCAAAATGTGTGGCTCATTATTCATTTGGAGAAAACAAAAAAAAACCCTCCAAGTCAGGACAACCGTTGTACAACTGATATCAATCAGGACAAAGGAATTTCCCTTTGTACTGTATTCCATTAAAAATAGAGCAAAACGTTGTAGTTCCGCAGCCCACTCGACTCGATCCTCAACTCCATCTTTGCTTTTGATTTGGTGAACGCGTAGATGGAGCTTTTCCACTGGAGTGACTGACACACGCGAAAGCACTCATCCAGTATCACTCGCACACACAAAAGGGAAAAATCCCAGCCGACTTCTTCGCTTTGGATTGCGAGCCAAGTCTGAAACAAAGTCCACAGTCCTCCACTGGGTTATCAAACTGCGAGCCAGGCTCGCCTCCATCCATGTGTGGGAAAGCTAGAGACCCTTGCTGTGCACCAACAGGCACATGACTGTTTACACCGCAAAAGTCTGCTTTAACACAATCAAAAAATTTAGATAAGTGTCTCGGAAAAGTGCCCTCATGTGAGGCTCATTTCTGCTGACAAACAGGGAATTTGGATTCTTGTCGAAAATCGCAAGCGGGGAGCCGAAGGAGACGGCATAAAAGGCTTACTCCGTTTGGATGCCGTGCACGAACCAATTTCAACAGTCGATCGGCCACCTTTGACGTGGACGAGCGAAAGGAGGGTGTGTGTGGTGAGGCTCTGGAGTGGAATGGCTGGGTTATTTCTGCTCTGCTTCTTCACTTCTGAGCGGTGACCGTGTAGCCGGTAGGCAGATGGGTCATGGGCGGGGCGTGATTTTTCCGGGACGACGCTGCATTGTTGTCGCCTTTTGTGCAGCAGGGAGAAGCTTCCTTGAGAGTAGCCAGAAGGGCTGCAATCAGCTATTTGCTGGTTCACGTGCTGTACTTAAGAAATCTTGGTGGTGTGATGACTTGACTTGGACCTGGATTGTAAAAAGCCACCAAAAAGATGTAATTTTGTCCATTTATTACCACTCAAAGAACCGAAGAATCAAAGACCTTCTGTCCAAATGAGATGGGCTGATGTGTTCATTTTCAGTAGATGGGCCTATTGTGTTTTTTTTACAGGTCTGAACAAAAATCAATCTGATGATTGCTACTGGTTCAGAAGGTTGCTGCTCGAGTTATTAGTGGTACCAGGAAACTAGACCACGTAAGAAGAATGCTCCAACCTTGACAATGACTTTCTGTAAATCAAAGAATAGATTTTAAGATCTATTGGTCTTTGGTCTTGGGCCTAAATATATTCAAGCCCTTTTAGTTCCCGTTGAGACTTCCGGGGCCCCTCAGGTAATTGAGTGCAAGCTTTCTTGAGTGTTTCCAGAGCCGGACTTAAAGTGAAGCATTCAGTTTCTACGCTCCTCAATTTTGGAACAATCTTCCCAAAAAGCTCTACTCAGTTTGAGTAGAGGGTACAATGAAATCTGGCCTGAACACTTTTTTGTTCACTTTTGCAAAAAAAAAAAAAAAAAATTGTTTCATCAACTTGCTTCTCTTATGGGAGTATTTAATTTGATTATCTGTGTTACATCATTTTGCGATTTTGTTTTATTTTTGTCCAATTATGCTGATTTTAGGTTGGGATTTTATTTTGATTTGCATGTTTTCATTTTGGGCAGCCCGGTGGACGACTGGATGGCGCGCCGGCTCAGGGAGTGTGTACCCCGCCGATTGCCCAAAAACTGGGATAGCTGTGATAGGCTCCAGCACATACCACGACCTTTGTGAGGATAAGCAGATCAGAAAAATGGATGGATGAATGGATGTTTTCATTTAACCTCGTTTTTAAGAACTATTTCTTTGCCTCTGTAAAGCACGATGGATTTGCCTTGTGTGTAATGGTACTCCACAGATAAACTTGTATCGCCTTACACTGTAATGTTAAAACAAAAAAACCTCAGTGGAAACCAGATATGCAAAACCAAATGTGTGGTGGGACTGGTCAAACTTTCGTTTTAAGCAAAATCTTGAGAAGTTGACGAAATTTGTGGTCACACTTACATAAGCAAGGCATGCGCCCATTTTTTGTTTTTTTGTTTTCTGAAGGTGAGCCTTAACTTTTGGCTACGGGGACCCCGATGAAGGGAGTGACTGCACGAGTCTCCTGGCTTGCCAGAGAGCACTCTGCTGCAGCCCTGCCAAGCAGGTAATTCACAAGCAGCGGCAGCAGCGGCGGCGGCATGAATAAAAGATAATGGGCCACAGCTGACTCTTCTGAGCTACATGTAATGTCTCTAATTTCACAGAGTAAAAGCCTTTCATGAGGTGCAATAGGTGACAGATTTCCTCCCTTAGAACCCGGATATCTGCTCAGTGGGTAAAGAGAATTATTACAGGAGCGCATTGGGCATTTTGGACTAGGGAAAAAAACGGTCCATGTCTATTTCGCTAGTCGTGACATAATTTTGTGAGGTTATGAATGGCGCGCAAAGAACTCATTTGTGCCTCAGCACAATATGTGACCTCGTGGCACGAGAGGTACACCAAGTTACCGCCGTCATGGAAAGCTTACATTCGAATCCTCATTCTCAGAACAGTGAGACAGAAGCGCTAACCAATAAGGTGAACCGGCGTGTTTTTCCTGAAAATGTATGTTGAATTCCCAATTATCGCAGGTCCGCTGATAGGAAACCTCATCTTCTTAAAGAAGGTCTAGAATTAAGATCTCGCCTTCATGAAGGTCACTGTTTACCCTTTTGGCAGACCATAACATTGCAGCCTGCCATTTGCGTGGCACATAGACTCTGCCAGAAACATTTTAAAAGCTGAGCTAATACTGAATTTCTGCTGTAGTTAACAACAACTCAAAAAAAAAAAAAAAAACGCACACTGAGGACATGTCAGCAACAGCAGAAACGGTATCTTTTGGGAAACAGATTCCTCATAGCGGTCAGATAGATTTCCTCCACCGGTTTGTGGACATGAACTTATCAGGGAGTGCAGACTTCATGTGACCTATAGTGAAGAAGGAAACTTCCACACATGCCTTATGTCTAAAGCATTAGTAAAGCAATATTATCTGGGTAATGGATGTTAATGAGGGAATATTCCAAGGCTTTGAACCCCGTACAAAATGATTATTCCATGTTAAATGGGATTTACTGCTTTATGTGACAGCTACATGAGCAAAAGAATCGATGGGAGCGAGTGGAGATGCGTGGCTGGGTTCTTTCCGCACGTGAGGTCAGTTGACGCACAGAGTGGAAAAAAAAAATAAAAATACGCTCACCTCCACAATGTCAGAGTTGGTTCTGCTCTCGTGGGGCTCGTTGTACTCGGTGTACTTGAGCAGCACTTTGTCCATGTCCGTGCTGGCATACTGAAACAGTTTGTTGGAGCTGTTGAAAATGATGAGGGCTATCTCACAGTCGCACAGCACGCTCAGCTCGTAAGCCTTCTTCATCAAGCCGAACTTCCTCTTTGTGAAAGTAACCTGGAGAAACAGAACACCAAAACCGTTGATTCAGAGGATTTTATAAAACGCACAGCTTAATTGCAAAAAAATAACGTTACAGTTGAGAGGCTAAAAAGCAAATAGAATTGCTACCAAGTACTCACACTGATTACATTACCAGAAAGGGAAAATAGAAGACAAATATACACACCGGAAGTTGCATTAAATATTGTTAGTGGACTCCCAAAATTCCATTTCAAGACTTTGTTATTGTTCGCTTATTTTATGAGCGTTCCCAATTGTCTATTTGAAAACTAATAACCAAATAGCGTGCGTCAAAATACTTATTCTGACACTTGTCGTATACATGTAGATTTTGTGGTTTAAAGACAGTAAAAGATCATTTCTATTTCTAAATAATTATTTCAAAATGTTAACAAAAAAATATATGTCTATAATAAACAGTTGTGAGCAGAAATCTTAACATCCTAAAATTTTGGACAGGCGATGTGACAGGTAACAAAATTATGTCGTCCACTAAAAATGATGGCGTCGGTCCAAACTGTCTAGTTAAGAGGTCAGGGCAAGACGCACAAGTCAGCGAGCTGAGTCAGAAGCGGCCATACATTACTGTAGCCACTGACTCCATATACGGAAAGCTATCTGTGTAGCGCAGCACAAGCCTTGTAACTTGAGCTCTCAGATGGGACATTAGGTCATCCATCACTCCAGCTGGTAAATGGAAGCCCCACCTCAAAATGCCCCCCAAGAAAAGTGACTTTGTCCTAGGACCACTCCCGCAAGGTGAAACAGGCTTAGTTCAGTTGGAAAAAAGGGTGGAAACTGTACTTCTTGGTCCTTGTGGTAGCTTGTTACAGATGTATTTTTCAGACGGTTTTAAATTGTGGAACAAAAAAGACATGTCTCATTTAATAGTATTGACATAACAAACAACTGCCTTTTGCCTGAATAGATTATCATTTTTATTTACCCATCCCAACTTCTGCTCACCCCCCCCCCCCATTCTGATATGTTTTCTTTCCACCACATTTCTGCAATTCGGTCTTTGTGAATGTCACTCTGATGGCGGCTTCAAAGCGGATTACCATCTGAGGGCAGACAAGTAGACACGCACAGAGACAATATCAGGACACTTTCTACCCGTTGAGAGCACCTTGCACTCCAAACCACCGCGCTCGTTCATCTGCATGTCTTTTTGTTTGCTCAACCTAGCGGAACGCGCACGTGAGGGGCGGAAAAAAAACTATTAACAAATTGTCCGCTCTTAGCAGCGTGGGGAGGCGAGCTTCACATGAGGGGCGGAAAAAAAAAACTATTAACAAATTGTCCGCTCTTAGCAGATGAATGCGGGGCTTTAAGCCACGGAGAGAAGCATGCAGATTGAAATGCCGAGGCGTTGGGACTTCGTTCCACCTGGATGGGTGGCAGAGTGATGAGTGGATGGTTGCTGAGCCAGTCACTTCACTTGCCTCCTTGCCACAGAATAAATAACAGCACAATCATCTAATACTGCCGTGAGAGAAGGACATCTACAGACCATTGGCCATCACCAACGTTGTGCCCACAGGCACCAGGTAACCCCCCAAAGATCACCTGAGTTGCCCACCAGCCTGTTCTTTAAAAAAAGAAAAAGATCACCAGTGATGGGAAATTATTTTCTAGGAATGTTCTAGAAGTGATCTGAAGTACTGAATATCATTAACATTAGCCTTCACAAATTCATATTAGGAACGATAACATAAAACGCTAATTTGAGCACATTAGTTGTTTCATAAGTTTTATTTCAAACTGGTAACCCTTTGCATTAATCAGGACTGAAGAAGTAGCTCTCGGTTTTAAAAAGGTTGGTAAGGAACAATAACATAAAACGCTAATTTGTAACTAACATTAGTTGTTTCATAAGTGTTTTTTCAAACTGGTAACCCTTTGCATTAATCAGTACTGAAGAAGTAGCTCTCGGTTTTAAAAAGGTTGGTGGCCACTGCTCGACAGTGAGCTCAAGCCGATGGAAGGTGGAGGTCGCGTGCTTGGGAATTGCTATTTTTACGGGTTGTTGTCAAGGCAACATCGCGGTGCATTTGTTCTGCAAATGATTTGTAAACCATTTCTTTTTCGGCGTAATGTTGTAAAATGGGTTTTTAAAATATATGAAAGCGCACTTCGTGATATATTTACAGTTGAAACAATTCCAAACATTTATATTCGGGGCTTCAATGATAAGGATGTTCGCTATTTGAGAAAGGATAGAAAAGCTAGGGCTGAGTTGGCATGGGGATGCTTACCGCATGCCAAACGGAAATGTTTAAATGCATCTCATAGATTCATTCATAAAGACAGCATATTATAAACTTTTACGATGGCATCTGTGGGGTCAATGCGGGAAGAAACACACACAAACATCCTCGGGATAAATGGGAAGCACAGGGTTCTTCACATCCCCCAAAATAGGAGACTTTTGACATCATCATCAATCTGTTTTGATGCCATGCTCTGACCCATGAAGGCAAAAAAAAGCTTGGCAAAGCATCGCCCATCTGTTTTTGTTACCTGCTTTCATTCTCATGAATTTGAATTCTCGAAAAATTTGTCAACATACAACATACAAGCACCGAAATGACCTAAAAAAAACGGCTTCACACCAAAATGTGTAACTTAGGACCGCTTTTGTTTTTTTACAAACTTTGGCACCATGCTTGCCCTAATGCATGCCAGACATAAGAAAAAGGTAACATGAAAAGGACCTTTCTCAAATTCACGTACAGGTCGAACAGCAAGATGAGCTTTTCCTGAACTCGTCTTAAAGAGAGAAAAAAAAATGTGAAGTCCAACCTAAATGAGATCAAAAACGGGAAGACCAGCCTTTCCCCAAATTGGGATTCAAGACCAACAAACAGGTCGCACAGCCAAATCTAGGATATCCATCCATCCATCCATTTTCCGATCCGCTTTATCCTCACAAGGGTCGCGAGGGTGCTGGAGCCTATCCCAGCCGTCCTCAGGCAGTAGGCGGGCAACACCCTGAACCGGTTGCCAGCCAATCGCAGGGCACACAGAGACGAACAACCATCCGCGCTCACCCTCACACCTCGGGACAATTTTGAGTGTCCAATCAGCCTGCCATGCATGTTTTTGGAATGTACAAACAAGACATCTGGGGCTGTGATTGCAGCTGTGACTAGGCCATGGCGGAAGATGCCAAAGTTGCTAACACCTTCGAGGGGTGAGAAGCTGGAAGTCTTATTAGAAACATTGATGGCAGACAAGTGGATTGAGGCGCAGGGAGAGAGAAGAGAAGACTAGAGAAGAAGAGAGTGAGAAAGGGAGGTCTAGCGCCGGTTGGCAGAGTGACCTTGGCCCTCTGTCTGCTGCTGTATGCCGTCCACCGTGGCTGTCGGTCTGGGTCATCTCTGTTGGAGACGGCGATGAGCACCCATGGATAACCATGTGAACAAGAGAGTGAGAAAGGGAGGTCGAGCGCCGGTTGGCAGAGTGACCTTGGCCCTCTGCCTGCTGCTGTATGCCGTCCGCCATGGCCGTCGGTCTGGGTCATCTCTGTTGCAGACGGCGATGAGCACCCATGGATAACCATGTGAACAAAACAAATGGGGGTGCAATGGTCTTGTTCTGGGTGGGAATGACCTTGAAACAGTATAGAGTGACCCAGCCAGATAGAAAACGAGATTGACATTTCCCAAACTTTGGTTGAGACAAAAGAAAAAGGTGACGTGAAAAGGCCCTTTCAAATTCAAGTATAGGTCGAACAACAAGATGAGCTTTTCCTGAACTTAGAGAGAAAAAAAATGTGAAGTCCAACCTAAATGAGGTCAAACACGGGAAGACCAGCCTTTCCCCAAATTCGGATTCAAGACCAACAAACAGGTCGCACAGCCAAATCTAGGATATCCATCCATCCATCCATTTTCCGATCCGCTTTATCCTCACAAGGGTCGCGAGGGTGCTGGAGCCTATCCCAGCCGTCCTCAGGCAGTAGGCGGGCAACACCCTGAACCGGTTGCCAGCCAATCGCAGGGCACACAGAGACGAACAACCATCCGCGCTCACCCTCACACCTCGGGACAATTTCGAGTGCTCAATCAGCCTGCCATGCATGTCTTTGGAATGTGGGAGGAAACCGGAATACCCGGAGAAAACCCACACAGGACTCGGGAGAACATTCAAACTCCACACAGGGAGGTCGGAGCTGGAATTGAACTCTGTATCTCTGCACTGTGAGGTTGATGCGCCATCCAGTCGCTAACGACTGGACTACCGGGCCACCCTATCTAGGATATGAAGACCCAAAATAGGAATACCAGCCTTAACCAAACTTGGGTTCTGGGGCCAAAACAGATCCAACAGGACAATTATTGTTTAACATGTTGGCACAATTTGTTCAATATGGAAGAATTTATAGCTGCCTGTCCTGGAATCTGTTCTGGTTGCTAGTCAAAAAGGTCATCTTCACTAACACCGTGATTGACAATCAGGCATTGACGATGCTGCTGGATGGTCGTTATGTAACATTCATTGTCAATCAGTGAGACAATCTGGCTTGATGACTAGGGCTTTTGCTGAGTGCCGGACCATCACACGCATCATTGTATGAGGGGATGTACAATGCATCCTCCCATACAAGACGTGTGTGACAAGATGTCTGTGGCCTCAAAGACTGAACTTTTTTTTACTTTCCATTACACAGTGATGATGGCGGATGCTGCCACGGAATGGAGCAGGTATCTTGTTCAAGGATACTTCGAACCGCACCAATTGAACATGCAACTTTCAGTCATGTGTTCAGATCAATAAAACAGAGCCTGTCTAAGGATGGCAATTACAAATCGCAGCTGAAGCCTCAAGTAGCAACATACTGAAAAGCGGCATTGCCATCTCGTCATACACCAGAACATGACCTTGCCGCGGCATCCTGAATTGAGATGAATACTATGTCACAGACATTTAAAAATTACAGACGGTGCCTGAAGAGAATAATTCCTGATCCTGGCAGGCTAAAAGCTGAATGCACCTGGATTTACTACACCGTACATTTTAGATCAGCCTTTCTGACCTGCAGGTACAAGACCAAAACAGTCAGCTTTGAGGAATAACCACAAACCATTCTTAAATTGAAGACCGGACAAGGGTCTTCTGAAGAGTGTTTTTCTGTTTGGTACTTTATGTCGCAGACGGCGTGAATATCATCCAGCTCTGCAGCTAGGCCAGACCAGAGTTGCCGAGGAGGATGCTGTGCGCCCTACTGACCCGCCCTGCTCAATGAGAGGGTGCTGCGGCCGTTCTTAATTGCTACCAAACACATGACAGAGAAAGGGTGCTGTTTGTGGTTTTAGGGTGGGGGGGGGGGGGTCGGGGTATCATCCCAACTGCCAAGTAGTTTGGGGGGGAGGGGGTTGTCTGACTACCACTGCCGCCCAGCACTCCTGCTGCCTCATCAATTTTTCCGGACGAAATTGCAGGGTGGTAGGGGGAGCGCATCTGTCAATATGACAAAGAAATGTCACAGTCCTCGTTGAGCTGGTTGAAACTTTCAGGAGGAATGTCTCTCTGCATCAATGCAAACAAAGACAGCTGCTGGACTCCGGATGGTGGTAAGGCAAGAGGGAAAGCTGGGATGTACTGTTGGTAGGTAGGGAAAGGCATTTTGATGACAGAGACACTTTGGATATCACATCAGCAACGTACAAAGTACATTAAGAGCACTGAGTGCAGACCTCTGTCAAGGCTTCGACAATGGAAATAGTTACATTTTGTTTGCTTCGATAAAGAAGACGCCAAATTTTTGTTTTTAAGATTCCAAATAAACACAAACCACAATCTGATCTTGTGAAAGTTGACAGCGATTGAGTTTTGAAACATTTTAACATTGATTTTTTTTTTTTTTTTTTTTTTGTGTTTTAAATTAGGCCGCAAGATGTACTGGCCATTAGGCCAAGGCCCTGGCACTTGCCCCCAAATCAGTTTGGAAAAATTTCAACTCACCAGCGACCCTAATGAAGATAAGCACCACAGAAAATGGACGGAAATTAAAATTCTCTAATCTGCATCACAACCAAATAGAACGCCGTCCAGGTCTACAGCAAAGTTTGTTCAAAATCAAGTGCAAGTACCAAACATGAATTGTTGCCGTTATTAAGCAGCATATGTGCTAGTAGTTAGCATGTTCACCTCACAGGAGATTCGGGTTCCAATCTCTATTAGACCACTAGGCCCAGGCAATTTTCGTACTTTCCCGCAATATCCATTGATATGATTTCTATAGCGCTTGTCCCCATTATGGTCGTATCTTTGTACAATTGAATTTGGTCTTCAATGTTGATATTGAGTCTTCTGAGGTAGAACATGGCAACTTCATACAGGAAGGCCAAATCAGAGATTTTATCCCCGAATCTCAGAGTTGTGAGGTAGATGTGCTAACCACTAGTGCGCAACACTGCGCAAAGGTAACATCAAATGTAGTTTTGTGTACCTGTCTGTTCCTTTCATCCATTATCCTGGTGATCTGTATCTTCTTCCGCCCCATGGCTCCTTGTGCTTTTTCCCGTCTCTCAGACTCTTCACGGACAATATTCGACAATCGAAAACACACATATACACCCACATACACATGCACAAACAGACGCACGCACACACACGCACACACTGTTCGCGTCCACCGCCCTCCTAGCACATTGTGCAAGTCCTTCTTCTGGTATGCGCACTTTCACTGGTCTCCACGCACCATATGCTCTTCAGCAGTCACCCGGCACAATCTACAAAAAAAAAAAAAAAACACGGCCATAGCGAGTGAGCGAGAGAGAATGAGAGAGAGGGAACGCAGTTAACATGACACTCAGTAATGTCTCCTTAGGCACTTCAAAGCACAAGTGTCTTCAATGTCATTCGTAGTATGAAACCCACATGTCTGGGGGGGTCTTATCTCCTCATGTGAGCCACAGCTGAAGTCAATGAAAGACAGCCTGTGACAGCGGGGCACATTAACAGACTATTACATCAGAGTTTAAAAAAATAACAACAAAAATCAACAAACAGATGAGACGAAAAGGGGTATCAATTATCACATCATTATGTCACGACATCCTATCCATCTTTCGTTTGGGGTTTGTTCATTATCTAATGGGCATACAGAAGTGGTTGCTACCTCGCTAACTTCTGCTAGCGACTACCCCGAAACAGAGTTTTCCATGTTATAGAGCGGCAGTCCCGAATCTTTTCTTCACTGTGTTCAGTGGGTGCATGGCTACTTAGAAGCGGCTAAACTGCTAATAACACATTGGCAGCCTGTGAAAATTCCTCTCGCAACGGTGAAGAACAATCTTGTCAAAATAAGGTGATTGACAGAATGGGGGATATTTGGGGGCTGATGTATATACCCCGCCATTAAAAAAAAAAAAAAAAACCTACAGTCAGATTTGGTTTGATGTTTTGTGAGTTAACTCTCACTATGTAAACATACAATTACTTAAAGTTTTATTAACTACGCCCACAGAATGTGGTTATGCTCCTCTTGCAAACAGAGAGTGGTGACATCGTATTGACCTTCCCAAGATGACCACGATGCCAACTTTGCTCTCAAGATGATTAAGACAGCGCCCAGTCCCAGGCTGACATCGGTACAAGTCTCTTGGGCTGCAAGGGAGAGCACGGGGTGAAAAAGGTGGCAGTATATGTATATAAATACATATTCCCACACAAGCGTGTAACCTGACCACTGTTCCCTTGGGAACATCCATGTCCACCCATTTCCCTAAAAGAAGTATAGCCCCTGTCCTGGAGCTACATCAATCACTTAGTGTGAGCAGGGAAAAAATGTCTAAACAACTACATTCCCTCTTAATGGGTACAAATGTAGAAGGCTTAACAACTGTGACAATTAAATGCGGTTAGTACTTGGGATCCAAGTAAACCAGAGGCAGAATTGGCAGTGCCAATGAAAATGACCACTTTCCAGTGGCACGCAGTCATTAAGGTTTACAGATGAACTGAAATTATGGTGTCTGGCTTTCTGGATCGGGGCAAACCTGACTGAGATCACCCAAGCTAAGGACTCACAAATGTCTATATAAGCCAGGATAGGAAAATGTGTTGACTTGATTTTGATCTTGAGCCGGTTTACTCACAATTTTACTGAATAACAGGCTCAAAGCTCTCCAGTTTATGACAGAGTTCTGTTCCGATTCCAGTGACATAAAAATATACGGTATATCTACCCAAGTCAGAATGCACCTCTGGGCTTCCAATTGCTGACGCTAACGCAGCAGTAAATTCATTATTACAGTAATCATTTATATTATAAAGACTTCAGGGCCATAAATACGAAACAACCAAATGAAAAGCATCAGATTAAAAAAAAAAAACACTTGATATGGTGCTTCCTGAGTGTCACTTCTTGAGCCACGACAATGGATTCTTACACCACATTGCAAAGTGGCTCATTGCATGATGTTCATAACCTCAAATTGTCATGGTTACAGTCAACATTTGTGTGAAAAACACCTCAACTCCATACATGTAAAACAATCGAATGAAAAACTGTACGTAAAGCAAAAACCAAGCATTCCTTCTTGTGCTGGGTGACTACATATTCTTACACCACTGCACAAAGTAGTTCTTAACCTCAACCGTGCGTAATTGGTAAGCACAAACGGTATCCCAATGGAGACATTGGATTGTTTCGTCCTGAGCAAATTTGACGGTGACAGGCATCAAGTTGTATTCAGTGGTATTGCTCGGATCTTCGTGCGAGATTAGGCCACAATGCATGTGACAATTACTTAAAAAAACACAACACTTATTGAGTCATGAATCACAACATGACAGGAGTCGCCAGAGCGGAATTGGCTTGCTGTGTAAACAATTCCATGGAAGCAAGAATAGCCTTCAATGAGGCACCGTCAACAACTTGTGTCGAAGTTCGCTTCCAAGGGAATCACTGACTAATCAGCGCAGTCAGATGAGCTTGATAAAGTGTCATTCCAAACATAATGCCAGCATGGAAAGCCACAACATTGGTTGTGCAACGCAAAAAGTTTCAAGGCTAACACTGAAGTTCTCGTACATGAGTATTGGTATGAAGTCAACGATTGTAAAACTTTAAATAAATGCTGAAAACCGGATAACTACGTTGTGTATGTTCGGTTTGTGTGCTAGCCAACAGTTAGCTTGATCGGGGCTACCGGTCGACCATGTCACGCCGAGAATTTGTGTGAGTTTTTATTTTACTTCGTAAAAAGTCCTCCAAACTCAGCAAAACTTTTTCAAATTCTCTATGTAAAAAATGTCAATTTATTATGAATCACAGTAAGATGTTTTAACAACTTGGAGATATTTTCTCATGAAGTCCTCATGAATTGAAAAAGTCCCTCAAAATTTAAGTTTTTTTTCCAATTACAGTGCCCTTTTCAAAGTAATCCAACTAAATACATGTTTTTCAAGTCACCACATTAAGTCCGTGTTCTAGTGGTGCATTTTTCATAGATAATCCTACCAAATAAACAATGCTTATGCGAGTCTTCGGGACAGTGAAACAGAAAATTTAATCATCACTTAATCAATGAATTAAACAATGTATTCAAGCCGTGCCTATGCATGATGTTCAATGTACTACACAGACGTTTCAGGGTCGGTTTTGTGCCCGAGAACCATCTTGAGCTTTGCTTTGGGCAAAGATTTGTTCAGCGTATGCAATAAATTGAGAGTGTTGCACACCTGCTGCCTCTCAGCTTGTCATTTCACATCTGTGTAAGAGAAATGTCATGGCAGCGTCCATTATGCCTCCGGTCTTGAGCTTTCCTACTGCGACAGCCAGGATAATGATGCTTGCATACTCGATTGGCAGGTATCGCTATTCTTGCAGTTGGCATTTGGCTAGATTTCCTTGATCAGCCACCAGGGATCATGATTGGTTCATTGACGAATGTTTAAGACCAACAAGGAAACCAAAATAGCTCAATTTGTGTCATCAATATAATCCATACGATAACCAATTCCCAAAAGATTTGGGTTCCATTGCCACCAATGGAACAAAACTCCACCATAAATTGCAGACCCCGCAGTACTGAAAAGTGGCACAGTTTGAGTCGGATATTTTGGATTGGTACCAAACAGTATTGCTTGGTGGGAACAAGGCGATAGCAGCAATGGATTTTAAAAAAATGTGGATGGATGTGTGGGTGGGGGCAAAGTTTGAAGCCGTTCCTGGGAGAGGAAATCATAAGAAGTGTAGCCAGAGAGCCTGGCTCACGTTACAGCAGGGATTCCAACTGCTTATCCTCACAATCCAATCGCAAGCCTCGGGTAGACAAGATTCCACTTCCTGCCCGTCCAGTTCCTGTTATTCTTCTGCACGTCTGCATGTTCTCCGCAGTCAAAGGCGAAAGCTGGAAAGGAGGAAAGGGAGGGACCACCCTCGGGGACTCCCTTCCCATCTGAGCACCATTGTGATGATTAGTGCGAGACTAAACAACCACAGAGGGGCTCATCTCTGGTGGCTACACTTTGTGGGCTTATTATGTTTTACCGGAAGGTTCATTAAACAGGCTCGATGACGTGCACAAGGTTACAATTGGTCGGTGGAGACCTTTTCCCGCTTTTTTACTTTCCAAAGTACTTGTCGGGTTGGTTACATAAGAATGAGTCACACATACACATTAGCATCATGCTGGAGGATGAACCATCCATCCAACTGTTTTCTATCCTCTTAGCCTTATGGGGTTGTGGGTGAGGAGGAGCCTATCCCACCCATAGCGGATGGGTAATTTAGAATCTTCACTGAACACAAAATGAGCTCTTGCATTTTTTTTTTTTGGGTGTATTGTTCAGCAGTTTTGTGCCATCCTTTAATGGTACTTTTTACGCAAGAGAGCCCTTTACGCTGGGAAAAAAACGACTGTAAGGGGTCACTTTGTTGTGTGCTTCAAGCCATTTGTGGTTGGGAGAGGATAGCGGATCATTTATACATGTGCATGCATTGATATATATTTTAAAAAATGAAATACATTAAGAGCATGTGTAACAGTCACAGTTGTGACACCCGTCACACATGTACTTTTCATGGATGCATGTATTTTGGTCATACATCTGGTTAGCAAGTGCGTATTCCTATGTGGCCCGCCAGTAGCACTGATGAACAATCGCGGGCCCCTCTAGCATTTATGGTGCCAATCCCTGGTATAGACAAACAAGCACTAACAACCACACCTAATAACAATTTGGACTCATGAACCAAACATGTGCAGCACGTTTATGCAATAAGCCAGAACACCTGAAGAAAAACCATGCAAGAATAGGAAGAACATGCAAACTGCAGGGAGTGCAAATTTGAACACCGAACCTAATAATGCTACAGACGCGCAAAGCAGTTGGCCACCGTGCTGCTTCTTTCCACAGCAATGCATTTGGTAACTGTGACGGTGTCACCACTGGTAGCTTAGCCTCAAAACAAGCAAACAAAGACACAATTTTACCAGTTTGCTTCAGTGGCGCCTTGACACCGGTGTGGTAGGAAACAAGCAATCACCCCCACCCAAGAGCACCCCCTACCACCACCACCTTGTTCTCGGCTTTCATCAGGAGTTGCTGTACCTGTAAATGGGGCTGTTGGCCTGAGGGGAGCGGAGGCGAGCCAGCCCTTTAACGCCACACATCACCCCCGCCCCCCTTTACACTCCACATATCCTCCCCGCCTTTTTTTTTTTTGTGAGCTTATCTCCCTCTCCAGTGGTGAAAAGGCAGGATTGTGGCCCCTGCAGCA